CTCAGGGTTCATTTGATGTCATCAAAACATATAGTTTTCAATATGATACACCCCAATGGCTCAGCAGTAATTTTGTAGGCGTATAACTCTAAAAACTGGGTTTCGATACCCGTGGTGAGCACAGTACATATAGCCCATTAGATCTTTCCTGTTTTACTGATAAGAAAGGAGCTCAGGGCTCATTTGATGTTATCAAAACGTATAGTTTTCAGTATGATACACCCCAGTGGCTCAGCGGTAATTTTGTAGGCGTATAACTCTAAAAACTGGGTTTCGATGCCCGTGGTGGGCACAGTACATATAGCTTATTGTTTAGCTTGGTGCTTAACAACAAACAAACAAACAATATAATGTTATTTGTAAGCAGTTCTGCAACTCAGAACAAAACAAGAGTTTGACAACACTATGATCATGATGTTTCAATCACTTTCAACTGTGCCCACTGGGGGGGGGGATCAAACTCTATATTTGCGTTATAAGTCTTCGAGATTACCAAGTTTAAAGAACTACAAGTAAAAAAAAAAACCTACATAACTTAATTTTTTTTAGTCTGGTTAATAGATTTAATATTCACGATAAACTGTAGAAGTTTCTTTGTTTCCTCTAATTAGGCTTAAAATACTAGTTTCATGGAACTCTGATTTAAAATCATTTATAGACTAATTAAGAGGAATATGAAAAAAAAAAGCCCTACTGTTTAGCGTGAGTTTATTAACAATATTAAGCCTCTTAGTTCCATTGCTTCGCCAGGATTTAGCGTAAAATGTTATGTACTACATATAAAACAGTATTTGAAGTGGACTGTTTCAGCTGCCATCATTCCAGCCCACATAATGAGTTCTGGTACTAAAAAAAAAAAGTCAGCCTGTGGCAGACAAAATATAGATTAAGTGCTACTTCTGTGTATATCTGATTTAAATCCGTTATGGGCTAATTAAGAGAACTGAAAAAGAAAAAACGAACTTCTGAATATTGATGTTTTTTTTTAATCAAGAATATTAGTCCTAATGATTTCCATTGCTTCATCAGCTTTTGGTGTGCAACATTAAATTTTAATTCAGTTTTTTTTTAGTGGAAGTTTGAGAATGGTTTTCACTATTTGACGCAATCTGTTTAATTACTAAATCAGCATTGATAATTAATTTCCTCATTTTTACCACAGAACACATTAAGTGGTTTTTAGCAAATCTAGCAAAAACACTTTGCAGAATATCAAAACTACTTTCAATCATTGAAAAGGTCGAATACACACACACCCAGCACAATGTCGGAAATCGGAACAATATTCAACCAACGTTCTATTAAAAATGAACAATCGTTGCTACGTGATATACTCCTAATCTCAGAAACGTTTATAGAAAATTTCGTAGTAAATGTATGATACTTTACACAGCTAAAATATATATATACATATAATTATAACAATAAATAAAAAAATTCCTACCTCGAAGCAAGTTTGATGGTCATTTTAATTAAATCTAAGAGTTCAATAAAGGTTACACTTTCAAGCCAACTCCCTGTCATGCGTGTATTATCATAGGTTCTGAAACTGTTCTGTTTTTTGCTATGTTAAAAGATAATTCGTTGTTGTGCGTTATGCCAGGTGCTACATTATTACCGTTGTTCTTGTACAATTCGTCGTTGTACCTTATGCAACGTTCTACTTTGTTATTGTTGTACTTGTACAATTCAATGTTGTGCTTATGCAGCGTTCTACGTTGTTTAACAACGTAGAACGTTGCATAGCGTACAACAATAACAACGTAGAACGATGCATAACGTACAACAAATTTTTCAGTAACAACTTAGAATATTGCATAACGCACAACAACGAACCGTCCAAGTACAGGAATAACAACGTAAAACGTTGCATAAGACACAACAGTGAATTGTACAAGTACAACAATAACAAAGTAGAGCGTTGCATAAGGCTCAACAATGAATGGTGCAACAGTAACAACGTAGAAGGTTGCATAACGCACAACAACAAATCGTACAAGTACAATAATAACAACGTAGAACGTTGCATAAGGCACAACAATAACGCACAACAACGAACCGTCCAAGTACAGGAAATGCAACGTTCTACGTTGTTATTGTAAAATTGGTTGTGCGTTATGTATCGTTCTACGTTGTTATTGTTGTACGTTATCACACACTTAGCTTTGTATTATTTTTTCAATACTTCTATGGCATATTTAGACAAGCTCTTCGTGTCTGTAATTACACGTTATTTGTTCTAGTCGTTTTGTTCACTCTACTTGAAACTGGATCGGCTTTTCGAACATGGAGCACGGTTCACGTAAATCACCTATTTACTCTGTGGGCGGTACGTCAAGCAAGGGAACGCGATTTAATTAGTATACGGAGCATGCTTCCTTGAAGTCTTTCTTTTTCAATAATAATAATTCAATTTGGTTATTCGTGTTCCACAAGTTTGGCCACATTTGACCAAAAACTGTTGAGAACGACATTAATATTAGCTTACATTTTAAACATTAAATCTTGTATTCAAGAATGTATAATATTTTATGGAAAACAAAATCATATGAGTTAGAACTAAAATCTTATAAGTTAGAACTCAAACCCCATGAGTTAGAACTCAAATCCTATGAGTTAGAACTCAAATCATATGAGTTAGAGCCAAAATCCTATGAGTTAGAACTAAAATCCTATGAGTTAGAACTCAAATCCTATGACTTAGAACTCAAATCTTATAAGTTAGAACTCAAATTCTATGAGTTAGAACCCAAATCCTATGAGTTAGAACTCAAATCCTATGAGTTAGAACTAAAATCTTACAAGTTAGAACTCAAATCCTATGAGTTAGAACCCAAATCCTATGAGTTAGAACTCAAATCTTATAAGTTAGAACTCAAATCCTATGAGTTAGAACCCAAATCCTATGAGTTAGAACTCAAATCTTATGAGTTAGAACTCAAATCCTATGAGTTAGAACTCAAATCCTAAAAGTTAGAACTCAAATCCTATGAGTTAGAACTCAAATCCTATGAGTTAGAACCCAAATCCTATGAGTTAGAACTAAAATCCTATGAGTTAGAAC